TTTCGTGATAGAATATGTTTAAGTGTTTAATAAACCTTCATTTTTATCGACTCAACAAGCATATTGGGCAGACGACAGGAAACCTAAACGGGCCTATAATTTATACCATAAACTATAGCTACAATCCTTTGTTTTTAAATTAATTTAATTTAATTATAGTCCAGTAAGCAGGTGAAGAATTTAACATTTATTCTAACATTTTTTACTTTCCTATCTGTATACAGATAAGGAAAGTATAGGAATCATGATTTTTTTAGATCTGGGGGGTACTTTATTGGTGGTCATTTTTATATTTTATGGAATATATATGTTATTTATGTTTGGAGAAGAAAATTTTTTAAATAAAAGTTATCTATCATTTTTGTTTTATACAAAATTTTCCTGAAATGGTCCGTATTCGAAAAACTTGACAAAATGTAAAAAAAATTATTTTTTATAAAAATTGTTTAAATAAAAGTTGTTTGTAATATAATTTTCTATAATTTTTACTCTATGCATAATTTCTCTAAAATGAACCGTATTCGAGATATTTGAGAAAATGTGTAAATTTAGAATTTTGAAGAAAACTCAAAAACGGATAAAGGAAAAAACATTAAATTTTAAAAGTTTTATTTTGGCCTGAGATGAAATGATTAGATTTTGGACAAAGTCGGAACATCTGGGGGTACTTTATAGGAGGTCGTTTTTATATTTTATGGAATATATCTGTTATTTATGTTTGGGGAAGAAAATTGTTCAAATAAAAGTTACTTCTAATATTATTATCTATAATTTTTGTTTTATGCCAAATTTTCCTGAAATGGTCCATATTCGAGAAATTTGACAAAATGTGCAAAATTTTGATTTTTAAGAAAATTGTTAAACTAAAAGTTGTCGATCTCTATAATTTTTGTTTTTACATGATTTTTCTAAAATGGACCGCAATGGAAAAATTGGAGGAAAAGTGCTAAATTTAAATTTTTCAGTATTTTCGTTTTCAATGATTATCTATAGAAAAATGTTTCGAGTTAGATGTATGTGAAAAATGTATATATTTAGTTTATCCTCTAAACATGTTGCAATAGGTTGTACAAAATAACTGAAAAAAGCCTATAATAACTAGATAGGAAAGTCATGTATTGGACACATCAGATTTTTAAAAAAAATATCCTCAATTTTACTACAAGGTGTTTTAAAGTTGCGACGAAAAACATTTTGATTTACCCCTGTATAAACGAAAAATGTTACTTATTACAATATTTAAAAAAAAATCATAATAAATTTATCTACAAACTGGTAGAAAATTCATAAAAATAGGAAAAACAAAAAAATTATAAAACATTAAACTTGGTCGAAATTTTATGCTGGCGGAATTTTGTGCCGGGAAAATAAATAGTAAAATAAAATAGACCTAAAACCACACAAAAGGAGCATCTGCAAGTATTAAAAATTAATTGGAGGAGCGTGGTATATATTGGGACATTTTTTGCCATGTCAGAGGCCTTATTTTGAGACCAAACTTGGTATATGGCTGTATATTCTATATTATCCCATAAATATGAGAATGGTATTAAAAAATTCTTTCCCCACTGTAGCTGATAAGGAGGTGGTGTCACCCTCAAAAAATGAAGTCATAATTATTTCAAAAACAAATCAAATTTTTTTTTTTATATATTTTACCAGACATTAGTTTTGACCAAAACCGTCATAATTTGGAATGGGGGGGGGGACTAGCATTTAAAAATAGTTATAGAGGAGATAAAAATCTAATTTTGGCACATTTATAATAGGCCTGATTTAAAAAGCTTACCCCCACCATACTCTAGGGGAAGATTCCAAAAAAGAAAAATAGTTAAACTTTTTAAATAAATAAGTTGAAATCTATGATTTTTTCTACATATACAGGGTGACCCGGAATTAGACGGTCATATTTTAACAGCGTAATCTACATCCTAAAATAGGAGTAAAAGTTCATATATAAACATAGGTCCGAAAACGTTTCTTTTCCAAGATACAGGGTGTTAAAAATGAAGTCCTGATGACACACTTTAAAGTTTCTTTATAAAATAAATATTTAAAAATCAAAGCTAAATAAATTTCTTTAGTCACCGGTTTTCCAAAACTGAAAAAAAAATAAAATTTCTGATTCCACAGGCCTACTAATTATTGTTTTCATTTTCGAATAAGATAATATGAACTTATGAAATTTTCAAATGCTTTTCTCTTAAAAAGGGTGCGTTCTAGCGAGATCCAGCAAAAGTAAAAGAAAACATTGGTTTTTCAAATGTTTTAGTTAAAAATGTTAAAAACGGGCAAAAAAAAAACTTAGGGCAATTTTACCCTAAACCCCCCTAATTTACCCACCTATGAAGATGATCAAAAATTAGTCCATTAAATAGAGCGTAAAAAGGTAAGCATTTGTATCAAATTTCACTTAGTTATCTTTAAACGTTTAGAAAATATTTACAAAAGTGTGTCATCAGGACTTCACTTTTAACACCTTGTATTTTGGAAAAGAAACGTTTTCGGACCTATGTTAAAATATGACAGGGATACCTTGTATATCCAAAATTTCTTTGGACTGAACATTTTTTGACTTGAATCGTCATAGTTCGGACGCAAAATTTTTGTCGAAAAAATTTCAAATTTTGGGTATGTATGTAGAAAAGATCGTAGATTTCAACGATTTCACATAAAAAATTGTAACAATTTTTTGGGGATACCATCCCCTCAATCTCCTTCTAGAGGATGGTGGGGGTAAGATTTTTATACAGATACGTTATAAATCAGGTCTAATTTTAATATGCCCAAAATGAGTTTTTTATCTCCTCTGTGACTATTTTTAAATGCATCCCTCCCCACACCCGAACTATGACAGTTCAGGTTCGAAAATTTTTAGGAAAAGATTTTGGAAAAAAAATTTAATTATGGCTTTGTATGTAGAAGAAGTCGTAGATACTAATTATAACTCAAAAACGAAAAATGATATCATTTTTAGCAAAAATCAACCTCTATAAGAGGGCAAAATCTATTGATTTTGAAAAAATCTGATTAAAAATTGGGGGTTTAATAAGTGGGGTTGAAATAAAAAAAAAACAAATCAAAAATAAAAAGCGTGAAATTTTTAGTAGAAATCAAACTCTATAAGGAGATGATGCCTATTGATTGTGAAAAAAAATGAATAAAAGTGGGGGGGGGTGTTAAGGGGGTTTAAAAATTTAAAATAAATAAACAATATTATCAACTTGAAATTTTTGGAAAAAATCAAGTTCTACAAGGGGATGAAGCATATTGATTCTGAAAATAATCTGATTGAAAATGGGGGTTAAGGAGGTCTGTTAAACTGTGAAAAGTAATTTAGAATGCCACGCATTGTATATCTTCATTCTAGTTTGTATCTGTGTAATATTATGTATTGTAATGGAACTGATCTTATAAAACACACATTTTAATTTACTTGTTTTTTTACCAATAAAAGGTATTTAAAACATATAATATTTTATTTGACATGTCTGACAAATTGTAAAAATGATTAAATTTACAATAAAAAGCAAAAAATGGTAAATAAAATTTCATATAATATTTTTTACACAAAAATAAATATCAAGCTTTCTACATAACCTGATATACAAGGTGTTCGATAAGTACGGTACATATCTTCAGGAGCTAAAATAAAGGTATTTTTGTCATATACACTATGCTTCGTTACGGAAATACAGGGTGTGAAAGTTACCTTATCCGCAGGCCACTGGTTAAACGAAAGCAAGTAAATCCAACGTTGCTAACTCTCAAAAGCTGCAAAAATTTATTTAAAATATCTCAAGTACGCTACTGAAGTTTTGTACCGTACTTATTGAACACCCTATATTTAAATATAATCTCAAAATATGAAGAAAAGTCAGTTGACTAACTAATAATGTTTATAGATGGTTTTCAACGTATTAAAAAGAAAACAAATATTGCAATAACTAAAATATTCATTTATTCATTCATTAATAGTAATTGTAGTGCTTGATATTGATAATAATATTTACAGTTTTGAACTGAACTTACAAATGATTAAATTATTGGAAAAAGTTAACACTCATTTTAAATTACTACGAGCCGCCACTGTGTCGGATTGGGACCTCCAAGGCCTACCGGTCAGGAAGGAGAAGGGCCCACCGATTTTCATTGAAGAGCAAAAAAGAAAAGGTTCTCTCTCATTGAAGAGCAAAAAAAAGGTTCTCTCTCATTAAAGAACAAAAGAAAAGGTACTCTCATGCAGGGGTGGCTGTGACCAACATTTTGGGGATTCACAGTAGCAGAATATAGCTTTCAGTACAGATGTAGGTAAAAAACTGTTAGTGTTTTTTTATACATCTGTACTGATATCTATATTCTGTCACTGTGAACCCCCAAAATTTTGGTCATCATCCGCCACTGCTCTCATGTATTACGGGGTTCGGGGTTTTTGCATTTAATTTACGAGCCCCACTGCCTGAACATTTTTTATAATTTTAAATTGCCTAAAAATACCTTCCTCAAATTCTTTGACTATTAAATATTAGGATACATAAATTACTTGTTTTTAATTAATTTGTCATCGCGGCGAAAAAATTATAAAAACTATTTACTTGATTGGTGAAATTTAGTAAGCAAAATTTTCTAATTACATAGTTTAAAATTTGAATTATACAACCTTTCTTATCTGAAACTGAATAAAAGTAACGATAAAGTGTTTGATTTTAGTGGTCTTTGATAAACTTTCATTGATAACATAAAATACTTGATTAACAGTAAATAGTTTCTTAAATTGTAATAAATGAATAGAAATTTTTTCAACGGCTCCATTTATTACTTACATTCCTATATATAATTAATTGATAAACATCATAATCATTATCTTCACATATGTATTTAGTTCTATAACACTTACTATCTATAAAAAGAGCAAGTAATGTTCATGCTGCACTTAAAAAACATTTAGCATAAACAATAATAGTAAACATTAGTAGTCATACAAAATGAATTAAACTTACTTTTCGATTCAGTATTTTTCAACAGCGCGTAATGTTAATGTTACACTGAGACACACTTTGTAAGGATATCATGTCACTCCAGAAATTGAGAGGAAAACTGGACGCCTACCGTCGGGATGCTTCTATATATCACCAAAGCTAAAGTGCGTTCCCTCTCAATTTTCGATGAGCCTATTCTGCACGCAGTCTTCAATTCATAAGCGTTATTTTTTGTACGGGATCATTCTAATAAGTGCGCACCAGCGTTGGATTCAGATAACTATCGCGGCTAGGTGGAAATTAGTTTTTCATTTCGCCCTTTACAAAAATAATTAATTGTAATGGAAACGTAATCTGAGATTTTTAATGTTTTATAAAATGATTGCAATACCAGGGTCATGCTGAAATTTTTAGTTACTTGAAAATAAAAAATGTTTTCAATGGTGACTCGAACCCAGTAAATAAATATTCACAACCTAGCTTAGGTTTTAAGGATATATCTATATTATATACGAGCTAAAGAGGACAAAAATGAGCTATTTAATTAATTTGTAACGGACATACCATGGAAAGATAAGCCTTTCTGCGGGGTTGCTAAGGTATCAAACAATAGATACAAAAAGAGTTTCAGGAATGATGGATCAAATATCCAGGACTGAGACCCACCAATGAGTTAACTAAAGAATAATCAGCCAAAAAGGCAAACTGCCAAATATATTGTAGACGTTGACAAAATTAGATGGACAATATCTTATCTTCTTCCCATTTAAATCGCCAGGACTTCATGGTATCTATTCAGCCCTACCTCAGTGGGGTCTGGAAGAACGAATAATTCACACCGGACCTGGTATATATTGATATAGAAACACCCTGTATATCAATTATCCAAAAATTTGCCTAGACTCTCAAAAGGGATGGTTCTGCTCTAAAAATTTACAAAAAATAATAATTTTATTAAAAAAATAAACAAATTTTAAATTTCTCTTATTTTAAATCCTTTCTTCTTACTCCTCCGCTTACTAGTTGTTTCTCCGCTTACTCCTTATGTTAACCTTCACTAATCTGCGCACTTCTTTCTGCTACTGCTTTGCCATTTCTTTTATTCAAGTCACTCTTCTTTTTATGGAAATAAAACTTTAATTTTGATTTTCAGACACTTCACCACCCCAGCATTATTAAATTTTTTACAATAAAATATATGTCAATGTATTTAGATCCTCGTTGGCTCTGAGATATATCTCCGAAAAAATGGCAAGAGGTAAAAGTGGTCTTCATACCCAATTTATCCAAGATAGCACATCTCTGAATATTTCTAAAATATTGATTTTTATCATTTTTATTGAAATGATACAACCCTGTATATTTTTTAATATTTTTTATTATAATTTCTATTGAAATAACTTAATACAACTCTGTATATTTCTTAATATTGAATTTTATAATTTCTATTAAATTAACTTAAATTCAACCCTGTATATTTCTTAATATTGATTTTTATAATTTCTATTGAATTAACTGAAATTCACCCGAAAACAGATGACTAACCTAACTGTCTTTCGAAGTGAACGACTGAAGGCCATATGGTTTATTGGTTACATTGATAATATTTTAAGAAAATGTCAGTTCCTCCTCTAAACAACCCCAGTGGTATCTCAAAGAAAGTTACATAAATCTTTTGACTCGCCATTGAAAATACAGACATTAGATTATGTACAAATTTCATCTAGCGTTGTAACGGCGTCGATTTAGGTACGTCGCAGCGTTGAGCGTCGCCTTGCGTTGAGGCGCCTAGCGTAGTGGTGGAGAGTAAGGTATTTAATACGGTACTGCATTGAGGCAGATATACGGTACTGCATTGGGACAGATATACGGTAGAAATATTTAGGTGGTGCGGAACGTGACGAAGGGTGTCGACAACGATATTATGAAGGAAGTATTTAGGGGCGGCAAGCATCGAGAAGTAGAGCGATGAGACGATGAGCGTCGGAATGAATGTAAGGTAGGAAATACCAAGATAGTGCGGAATGTGACAGCGCTCGAGACGTAGATAGGTAGGGAAGTAGGGCGTCTAGACGTTGAGCGTGAAGACGTTGAGCGTCGGGATGAATATAATGATAGCAAATACTAAAGTGGTGTTAGAAGTGATAGTGTAGAATGGTAGGGAAGTAGGACGGCAGGACATTGGGCGTCAAGACGTTGACACCTTCGGGGATAGGAGGTATTGTAGGATAGACGTCGTTTAGGAAGAACGTTTTAGGAAAGGTACAAAGGATACAAATAATAAAGTGATTGCTTGAATGTAAAATAATAAAATGAATGCTTACACATCAAATAATAAAAATTGAATTAATCCTAGCTCCTTTGGATCAGAGTTCTTATAGCCATTTTAATGGCTTTTTGTGACGTGTCTGTGTGTCTTAGTTCCCAGCGAAAAACGAATTTTGGGTGGAAAGGGGATGGCTGATTTATTACTTGCCTTGAAAATTTTGTGTATCGAAAACAACGTTACTATTCAAACGCACTTAAGAAAAGTGTGTCAAGATTTTCTTGAGCTGGGTTCCCAGACACGTGCACGAAATTTGGATCTCTTATTGACAGGGTTATAGATATTATTTATTAGGTGTCGTAAATAAGATTTAATTATCTGGGATATTTTTCGTTAAATGAAGGATTTCGAATTTAATAAGAATGCACTATTATATTTAATAAATGGAATTAATAAATTATTAAGATACCTGGGTGCGGTAGGTTACAGTACCTAGGTCTCACCTTTAACAGCAAGTTAACATGGAACTCACAACTAATAGCAGAGTCATATATTAATTTTTTTTGTGCGTCCAAGAAACGTGGATACAGTTTTGGAGGATACCATTGGCATTCCAAGTTGCTATTCTAATTTCTCTTTTATCCACTTGTGGGTTTATTATAATATAAATTTTTGATCTATTAATTTATTATATAGATGTTTTTTTAATTATACACCAGGATCACGAAAATATCGTTTATTGAAAAAAAAAAAGGATTAACTGACAACTTTTTATATTTCAAAAGTACAATTCTTTTTTTAAATCAATGTCATTTTCTTTAACAAAAGTTCTAATACTAGGTGATATATATTTATATTGCTATCACAATACTATCAAGCCTATCAAAGACTAAATCTTTTCTAATTATTAAAAATATTAATAATTCTTGAGTGGTACTTTCGGCTAAGCTAGCTGACTGGCATAATAAAAGTAGTAAAGAAAGATTGACAACCTATCCTTAGGTTCTAAAGATATATCTAAAAATGCACTCAAACCTAAACCTTGATGTATATCTATCTTCACTTCAATGAAAAATTCTTTTAATTTTGGTGTCAGAATGTATAAGCATTGTATCACCTCGTATAAAACCAAATGATATCTGCTCAAACGATGCAGATAAAGCTTATGATGTAAGTGAAACCTTTATAGCGAGTGTTTGGATTTTTTAATGCAGATATGGCATACGGTCACTTATTGGTTTGTTGTATCTGATTAGATCTGACTTCTAAAAATAGTTTTGATATATCTATTAAAAAAATATTACTTTATTTTGTTTTTGGTCGGTATTTGAACCAATGTCTGTCACATATTTATATCTGTCACGATATGCATAGGCGTACAGAATGCTTCTCTGTTATAAAATGGGTTATATTTTAAACATCGTATGCGTTTTCATATTGGATTTTGTAAGAAATTGACAGTAAACCGATTAAAAATAATAAGGAGAACCAAATTAATTTAACCTATAATAAATTTAATTGTCCTAACACCTACCAAAAATAATTATTATTGGGTGGAAATTCAAATCATAGATTTTAAATAACATTAACAACTCTTTTTTATAATTATTAAGGTTTCATAGTCATCCATTAAAAAATATATTTTTTTTATTGGTATCCTATTTTACTTAAAAGGATTAAAAGTGGTGAAAAAGATATTAGAATTAAATATATTGTTACGCAGCACCCTGTAGCGTGCTGTGGTCGTCATAATTAAAGGTACGAGTAAATGAAGAAGATAGAATAGTCCAGAAATATCTAGAAATGCCATTCCTTGTTCGAGAAGGTTATAGAAGATCGAGGCAAGCTATATAAGTCGACGACCTGACGTCAGACTTTAGTTTTATGTTATCAGTTAGAGTTATTGTATCAGTTGAATTGAGTTATTGTAAAAGTTGAGTTAAAATAAATTGTGATACCAAAAACCAGCGTAGCAATATTAATGGCTCCAATACTCTTAGTCAATTAGAGGTCTTCTGGCCATGTCCTTTTAAGTATTCTTCCCAATAGCGGCAGCTGGTAAAGTCAATTTATAGTTTGGCTATCGTGAGCGAAGTTTCTTTCTTTGGCTTTGTTTGCATGTAGAGTGATAACATCTTTTATAAATGGTATCCCAAAACTTTGGTCGACCCTGTAGAAATAAATATTCAAATAATTACATCGTTGTAAAGACGATTAGAAGACCTTTCCAATGAGGTGTTTTGAGACACATGGTTGCATTTAAAAAAATTGCCGATTACGTCACCACGGTAATACTGGTGACGTAATGTTCGTTACATCTACATCATGTGATGACGATTCAAAAATTAAAATTGACCTGTTTTTGGATTTTTTTCAAAAGTCGATTATTTTAGAAATAATGAATTTATTCCATACATTAGCGACATACTGTATGTAACTACTTCAGGTGTTCCACAAGGATCAAATTTAGGACCGTTATTATTTTTAATATTCATAAATGATCTATCTTCGAAATTAGACTGCCCTTATCTCATGTTTGCCGACGACCTAAAACTTTACAGTAAAATTAGTGACCCAGAAGATGGTTACAGATTGCAGCAATCATTAAATACTGTTAACAGTTGGTGCTTGGAAAATTCGTTACAGCTCAACATTTCTAAATGTAAAATTGTCTCATTTTCCCGTCTCAAAGAATTTGATTATTTGCTTAACAATGAGTTTCTTCAACGCTGTTACTCATTTAAAGACCTTGGCATAAAATTCGATAACAAATTCACATTTAGTGGCCATATTGGATATATTATCGCTGCAGCATCGAAATTGCTAGGATATTGTGCTAGAAATTGGTCTAGTTTTGCTAACATTGAAACTTTTAAATTATTGTACATCACATTTGTAAGAAGCAAGTTGGAATACTGTTCTGTAATATGGTCGCCTATCTATCAGAACTCAATATATTCCATTGAAGCTGTACAAAGAACATTCCTAAATATATATATTTTAAGACTTATGGGCGTTATCCTGAAAGAGGATATAACCATGAGGAATTGCTTCAAATGTTTGACATTGAACCACTGATGGATAAGCGTAACCACGCATCAATCTCCTTTTTACACAAACTTTTAAATAATCAAATTGACTCTCCATATATATGAGTAAAATTTACTTTTCGTTACCCAGAATTGAGTCACGCAATGAATCTTGTTTTATAATCCATCTTGCCGAACCAATATATTAATTAAGTCTCCAGTAGTTCATATGTACACGATGTATAACAAAGTATGTAATTATTGTGATATAAATAATGATAACATACACAAAATCCTGGACATTTATCGAAAAAACAGAGTTAATTAATTAATAAATTATTTTTTTTTTGTTTCATTTATTCTTTTCTTCTTATATTTTACTATTTATAAGCACATACTATTAACTTCCATTCTTATAGCATTTTTTTATTTATAAGTTCTTATTAATAAAGTTTTTGTTCATACGTCTAAGTACTGTTCATGTTTATTCTATTATGTATTATTTTCTGTTATTGGGTGTATACCTGTTGAAAATAAATGTATTATTATTATAAAAAAATATTACTACTTAAAAAATTGAAAATAATGTTTTGATAAATCAAAATTTAAACATGTTTTTTCTTACTTAATATAATAAAATTTCTTTTAATTACTACCTTCTCCATCATAATTCAATTAAAAAACTTTTAAATTTTAACAAACTTCAGCCAAAAATAAATATTATTTTAATACCCGCATAAAATTTTATGTTCTATCGGAATCTGGAATAAAAATAGAAGTGTCCCATTTAAGATAAGAAAGAGCAAGAACTGTCAAAATTTTAGATCTAAAAATTATAACATGATTACTATTCCTGCCAATTTTAAACAAAATTCATCCATTACCTGAAAAATGTTTATAATATTAAAATTAAAAAGCAATGTCACATAAGTGTATTAATATTTTTTAAGATATTTTTACTATAGGCTCAAAAGACTTATTTCATTTTTAATATCGTGTTTACTGTAGAATAAACTTACGGAAATTTTACATATAATAGAAATGAAGCGTTAGCAATTATTATTTTTCGGTATCTCGCTTATCAACATTATATTGGATTCATTCATAAAATAGAAAATGCTTTTAATGCAACTATTTATCAATTTTGAGAGTATAAAACAGAGAAAATTTTTGGAAACTGTACATTTCGTCGATCACCAAGACAGTTAACAATATGTGGTCGCCAATTGTCCTTTGTTTCCTGGGTAAGTAATTTATTATTTTTATATTTTTATTTATTAAAATATCTATTTAATGTTCTTAAAATTTTGTTCTGCAAAAATGTATTTCAAATTTGCTATATTATTTTACTAATCAAAATATTTTTTAACAAAATTTCAGAATTAATAAAATATTCTTATGTCGAAATAGTCTTTCAAATAAAAGTACTTGCTTTATACATTTCTTAAATCTAAATTTGGAATACAAATTTTGGGAACTTTTTGATTGTTTTTGTAATTCTCATTTCATCTCTAATTAAGAAAATTGTCCTTTTTTATGTAGCCATAAAATGTTTAGTAACATTATTAAATACTTTCTTACCAGATATTTTTTATCTAAAAGTCCTTTTACCGCTAGGATTCTATCACATTTTTACTCTATTTTATTAATTTATTCAAATCGTATCTCCCTTATTAAACAAAGATAATAATATCTTAAATTTTGGTTGAATATTTCAAAACATTATTTGTTCTGCATTTTCAGTAGGCTTTGCCTTCGCTGCAAACAACCCTGGATGGAAAGAGGGAGCTGAATATGTTTACAAAATTCAAGGACGTTCCTTAGTTAGCCACAAGGAAATATCCAACCAACAAGCTGGATTTTTGTTCAGACTTACCCTCAGGATTCAACCCCAATCCGATGGAAAACTCAGGGCACAAATTACCCGACCTGAATACGACGAAATCCATTCTGACTTACCCGAATGGAATGCCCACATCCCAGAGGACCAACTTAGTTGGAAACCTCTGAAAATGAGCGGCAAACCTTTCGAGGTTGAAATGAAAGGAAGCAGGATCGTCGGTTTATTCGTTAGCAAGAAGACACCAGTCTGGGAAGTCAACATGATCAAGAGTTGCATGTCCCAATTCCAAATCAACACCAACGGAGCTAACCTAATCGAAAACAGGCTAAACACACTTCCTGAAAATGGAGATTTTGACAACGATGCTGTTTTTATGACAATGGAAGATACCATCACCGGTAATACCGAAACTATGTATCAAATCAGACCCTTGTCAGATCATCTCGTCCAAGCTGATTTCAAAGAAGCCCAATATCTCGATGCTGCTGAACACGGAAACGTTATCGAAGTAATCAAAAACAAAAACTATGCTAACAACGTAGAACTTCCTGCTTACTCCTTCGGTTTTGAAGGTCTTCAATGGGGAAAACCAGCTACTAACCAAATGGGAGAATTCTTCGTCAGGGAATCCACTAGCCGTGCTATTTTAACTGGAACTTTGGAACACTTCGTCATCCGCAAGTCTTCCACCGTTAACCAAATCTTCGTCAGCCCCACCATGAGCGACCAGAAGAGTTCTGTAGCCGCTAGCTTTGTTAACGCTACTTTGGAAAAAGTTACATCTCAAGACGAAAAAATTGCCGAGGTACCTCAACCAATTCATTTACAAACCCTTGTCTACTCTTATGAAGATTCATTCGCCCAAACTAACGAAATTCACGCAAGATCCACTTACCAATACAGGCAAGAAGACAACGAAAACGAAGATTACGAAAACACCAGAACCAACTGGATCAGATCACCCCGTTCTCTTCGCCGTTACGAAAACGAAAATCAAAATGACAACCAAAACCAAAAACACGGTTACAAACAAGAATTGTCTGAACTCAAAGAAGCTCCAGAAAGTCCTCTTTTACCTTTCACCATGGGATACGAAGGTATGTCAATAAAAAACAAAATCAATGTCGTCCAAGAAGTACAAAAGCTAGCCAAAGAAATTGGCAAGAGAATGCAAGAAGAAGCAAAGGATCATCATGAAGAACTTTTGGACATGTTCACCACAATGGTTTCCCTTGTCCGAATTATGGATGTTGAAGAAGTTCAACAAGCCGCCAAAGATTTATACAGCAACAGTAAAGATGGTTTAGCGTGTGCCATTTGGGTAGCTTTCCGTGATGCTGTGGCCCAATCAGGTACAGGACCCGCCCTTCTTGTCATCAAGGAGTGGATTGAAACCGATAAGATCGAAGGAGAAGAATCCAGCCAAGTAGTATCTACCATGATCCCTAATGTACGTCAACCTACCGTTCAATATTTCAGAACCTTGTTCGAACTTGTTAAGCAACCCAAAGTAGAACAGCAATGGCCTCTGAATGATACCATCCTCATGGCATTCACTGATCTTATCCGTAGAGTTTACGTTGACGAACATGCATTGAAAAACAATTTCCCTGTAAAGAGTTTTGTACCATTCCGCACTGACGAAGGAGAACAATTCATCAAAGAAGAAGTTTTCCGTTACTTCGAACAAAAATTGAACGAAGCCATCGAACGTTCCGAAACCCACAAAATTCACGCTTTGATTACCAGTATTGGAAACACTGGATCTTACTACGTATTGCCAATATTCGAACCTTTCTTGGAAGGTAAAAAACAAGCCTCCCAATTCCAACGCGTGTTGATGATTATGGCTATGAAGAAACTTGGTGACAATCATAGAGACACAGCCAACAAAGTTCTTTTCAGGATTTACCAGAACCGCGCAGAAGCTAGAGAAGTCAGAATTGCTACCGTTTACCAAATCATGCGTACTGTACCATCTACTGAAATGTTGAAAGCCATGGCTAGATACACTATTGTTGACCCTGATAATTACGTCAATGCTGCTGTCAAATCCTCCATTGAAAATGCTGCTAAACTAGAAAGACCCGATTTTATTGAATTGTAAGTTTTAAATTCATTTTTAAATTACCTCTGATCTATTTCTTTAAACTATAATCGAAAATGTGCAGTTAGCAATAATAAGATCCTCTTCAGTAGGTTTCCTTAAAAGAAAAGAAAAATTATTGATGGATATGTCTCCACTAAATTCAATCTATTGTCTACATTTGTAATTAGCTTTTCTGTGTTGCAATTTACTCTAGTCACTTCTACCCTTAGTATTCTACAACATTTAGATCCTTTGAGGCGCTTTCTCTTGGTCTCTGGATCAGTCCTTATAATTACTGTGTCCTGATATCTAGCCTAAAGTTAGTCCATTGTGACTACATAGCTTTATTAAAATTTCCAAGTAGCGTTAAATAAAGTTTGAATAAATATGAAATTCTAAACAAAAATAATATTGATTGTTGTTTTTTCAGCCGCAGAGCAGCTCAAGCTGCTAAACCTTATCTTACTGAACAACTCTTCGGTCTTCACTACGGAGCTAACTATCTTCGCAACTTCTTCATTGAAGAATTAGAGAAAACTTACAAACAAACTATCCAAACTTTCGGAAGCGATGAGTCTATGGTTCCCAAAGGAATCTACTACTCTCTTAGAGAACAAATGGCTGGAATTCAATACAGAATCGCCACCGTACAATTCTACATTTCCAGAGTTGATGACTTACTCCAAGTTACACGTGAACAAACTGCCAAATTCCAAAGGCAACAAAAGCAACAAAGGGAACACTCTCAAGAACAGGAACAAAACCAATGGTCAAGTCAAAACATTGCTAAGCTATTGAACTTACAACCCGAAGACAAAGAACAACTCGAAGGATTCTTGTCCATTGAATTGGGCAATTACCAAAAAATGTTCGCTTTCGACAACAGGACAGTACAGGACTTCTCAGAAGTTGTACGTGAATGGGAAGAAAAACTTAAAACCGAAAAGGAAGTAAGCTACTTCAAACTGACAACCAGAGAAATAGCTCTTTCCTTCCCTACCGAAACTGGTGTTCCATTCTTATTCACCTATGACGTTCCTACTTTCATGAAGGCACAAGGGAAAGTAAGCGCTAAAGTCCAACCTCAATTATCTCAAGATGGAGAAATCCAAACTCCCGAACAAATCGAACTTAACGCCGACATGGGAATTACTGTATCATCCAAAGTACAGAGTAGGTTATCTGTAACTGCTCCATTCAACCACAAACAATACTTCGCTGGTTTTGACAAACACTTGCAAGTAAATGTACCTGCTCGTGTTCAAGTCCAAGTTGATGTTAAAAAAATGAACGCTGAAATCGAAATCGAACTTAAACCAACCAAAGAACATACACTCTTGCATTACCTTACACGCCCCTACACTTCCAAGGTCGATGTTACCAACTTCGAACCAATGACCGCCCAAGGAGAAACCAAACTGATCAAACAAGACGATCTCCAAGCTTTCGAATCTACAGTTGGAAAGAAACCCACTGGTTTTGCATTCCGCGTTGAATTAGTCCATTCAAGACAATTCCTTGATGCTCTTCGTCTTGGACGTATCTTGAACCAACAACAAAACATTTTTGACTCGCTCCGATCAATCTGGGATGACAACAGCATTCAATATGGCAAATTCAATGTTGCCTACCGTCCACAGGAATCATCTGCCCGCAAGGTAATTCTTCGTCTTTCTTACGATCAACAATACAAATCACAACCCGAGTCTGGCTCATCCAGCGAATGGATCCTTAACGAAAACGCTGAGCCTTCTCAACGTCAACAAGAATTGATGAAGAAAATCGCCGCTGACATCAAAAATGTTCAAGTTGTTTCTCTTGACTCCAGCCTTGAATTTGAAGGAGACCAGAAAGTCAAATACATCCTGACTGGAGCTGTCGCCAAGAGCAACGTTGACCCTAAATCTCGTGTTATGATCTCTTACAAAAGAAGTTCTAATGGCACCCCCAAACCTCACGAAGTTCACGTTGTTGCCAAGAGCTTCATCCCCAACACTAACGCTCTTGATTTCGAATACACTTTGCAAAACGAACCCATGGCTGAAACCGAAATCAAAATTAAATTCGGAAACTCACATGAAGCACTTTCCAAAATCGACGCTCAACTGAAATACCGCAGAAGCGCAGAACGTAAACAATACTTGAAGGAATTACCCATGCACAAACAATGCAAAGAAGAAGCTAGAGCCGGTAACAAACAACTACCAGCCTGTCTCAACATGACCATGATTGCTAACCTCCTCGACAGCGTTGACTTGAAAGCACACCACGAAAACTTGAAACCAGAACTTTTGGAAACACTCCAAAGATACTTCAAAACTCTGCAAGTACTCGCCCAACCTGGTCTTAAAATCATCAACAAAGACACATCATTGGCCGAAAACGAAATCAAAATGCAAGCCCGTTTCCACCCCGACCTTCAAGCCGTCAATATTACTGTCAAATCTCAAAAACAAGAATCCAGATTCAACAACATCGAAGTTGATGAAATCAGCCAACAAATTTTCGTAGTCCACCCTGTTTTCCACGCTTACCAACGTTTGTCTAGGCACATCCTTGCTCCTATGGATAACTACAGAGGTAAATAAATATTTATTTATTACTTGACCTAAGCAGGCACAAAAGCCCCAAAAAATATTTTACTTACAGTACGATAGAAATAGCTAAAGCCGGCAAGGACACAAATGTCAACAGTTTTTATCAGTAAAATATCGTCATTTCAACAAAAATTCAACATAATTATCTTTATTCTTTCATTTCAGCATCCTGTGTCGTTGACAAGACTCACATCAACACCTTCAGCAACTTGACCTACCCAGCTGATATATCGAAACACTGGACAGTAATGCTCCAATACATTTCTGGTAACTCTGAAAGACACCAACAATCAATCCAAGAACAATTGAAATCCCAACTCGACAACTATGTCGTCCTCGTCCGTGAAAGCCCAGAAGCCGCCAACAAGAAGGACATCAAGATTGTCGTCAGTGCTCCCGAAACCGACTACAAGGTAGTAGAAATTGAATTGACCCCAAGCCAAGGATCTAACGAATTCAAGGCTAAAGTCACTGTTGACGGACAAGAAGTTAAAGTAAGCGAAAAGGAAAGCCACGATATCAAGGGAAGATTTATCCAAATCTACTCCTTGGCCAACGGTGAAGTAAAGGTTGAAATTCAAAGAGGTTTCTACGTTATCTACGATGGATCCCGTGCTAGAATTAGTACTGATGGAGGTAAACTTATGAACAGCATTGTAGGTATTTGCGGTCAATTCACAGAACACAAAGCCGATGAATTAACCACCTCCCAAGCTTGCGTTGCTCGCGACTTTGAAGAATTCGTCAAGAGCTACGAAGTCGAAGGACAACAGGGTAAACAAATCAGAGACATCTTCCATGGAAAAACCAACAAGTGCGTTGAAAAGGACATCCCTCTTTACGTCGAAGTCGTAGTTGGTCGTGACTACAGGTCCCAGAAACAAGGTGAACAATCCAACACATGCACTTACTTCCAAACTAAATATGTCGAACAAAATGGACAAACCTGCTTCTCCATCAGAGCTCAACCTGCTTGCAGCAGTCATTGTCAACCAAGAAAGCAAACCACAAAGAACGTTCAAGTTCACTGTGTCAAGCAAGACAGCAACGTTGCTGAATTATGGAAGAGGGAAATCGATAACCAAAGAACCGGTCCCGATTTCAGTACCCACAAAGTACACAAATCGATCCAAATGAACCTTCCAGAAAGCTGTGCCCAGTAAATTAACTGACGACTGTAACCTTAATTGTATTGGTTTAGTTTTAAGAGCATTTAAAAAATAAAAAAAAAAATGAAAATAATAAATATGTTTCAATAATATTTCTGTTATTATTTCTTTGCGACCTTAAATAATAAAATAGTACATAATAGTATAAAGTAGTATAAAGTAAAGTAGTATAAAGTAGTATAAAGTAGTATAAAGTAGTATAAAGTAGTATAAAGTAGTATAAAGTAGTATAAAGTAGTATAAAGTAGTATAAAGTAGTATAAAGTAGTATAAAGTAGTATAAAGTAGTATAAAGTAGTATAAAGTAGTATAAAGTAGTATAAAGTAGTATAAAGTAGTATAAAGTAGTATAAAGTAGTATAAAGTAGTATAAAGTAGTATAAAGTAGTATAAAGTAGTATAAAGTAGTATAAAGTAGTATAAAGTAGTATAAAGTAGTATAAAGTAGTATAAAGTAGTATAAAGTAGTATAAAGTAGTATAAAGTAGTATAAAGTAGTATAAAGTAGTATAAAGTAGTATAAAGTAGTATAAAGTAGTATAAAGTAGTATAAAGTAGTATAAAGTAGTATAAAGTAGTATAAAGTAGTATAAAGTAGTATAAAGTAGTATAAAGTAGTATAAAGTAGTATAAAGTAGTATAAAGTAGTATAAAGTAGTATAAAGTAGTATAAAGTAGTATAAAGTAGTATAAAGTAGTATAAAGTAGTATAAAGTAGTATAAAGTAGTATAAAGTAGTATAAAGTAGTATAAAGTAGTATAAAGTAGTATAAAGTAGTATAAAGTAGTATAAAGTAGTATAAAGTAGTATAAAGTAGTATAAAGTAGTATAAAGTAGTATAAAGTAGTATAAAGTAGTATAAAGTAGTATAAAGTAGTATAAAGTAGTATAAAGTAGTATAAAGTAGTATAAAGTAGTATAAAGTAGTATAAAGTAGTATAAAGTAGTATAAAGTAGTATAAAGTAGTATAAAGTAGTATAAAGTAGTATAAAGTAGTATAAAGTAGTATAAAGTAGTATAAAGTAGTATAAAGTAGTATAAAGTAGTATAAAGTAGTATAAAGTAGTATTGTCACAATTATTCCTTAAATGGAATTAACACAGGTAGGCTTGCGAGGTGGAGTCTTAAACTATCTGAGTTTGACTATGAAATCAAACATAAAAGTGGAAGCTCGAATAAAGATGCAGACTGTCTATCGAGAAACCCTGTGCTGAAATGCCAAGAGAAAGATATCGATGAAAATAATGATATCCCAATATTCCTGCTGCAGGCAGAGGATATGGAAAAAGAACAACAAAATGACTCTGAGATAGTACAATTAAAAAACACTATTTTAGATCCTTCATCTTTTTCAATTGGCGAAAGACGAAAAGCAAAAAACTATAGACTTATTGACAACGTTTTGTATAAAGTAAATACTAATCCTGATGGAAAATCAGATTTACTGGTCATACCTAGGCATCTTATAGGAGAGATCTTGTTTTCTCATCATAATGAACCTACTGCAGGACATTTGGGAATAACAAAAACTCTAAATAAAATTAAAGCAAGATACTATTGGTCAACACTATACAAAGACATTGAAAAATATGTCAAAGGTTGTAGTGATTGCCAGGCCAGAAAAGGACAGGAAACTATGAAACCCATAGGACTGTTGCAACCCATTCAAGTAGGAGTTCCATTTGAAAGGGTAGGCATCGACATTCTGGGCCCATTTCGCAAAAGTCGAAACGGGAAAACAGTAATAGTAGTTGCAACTGACTATGCCACTAGATGGGCTGAAACAATGGCCTTATCAAATGCAAAGTCAGCCCAAGTGGCCAAATTCATATTGAATTCAATCATTTGTAGGCATGGTAGTCCAAGATTCTTACTCAGTGACCAAGGAACAAATTTCAAATCCGAAATGGTCACTGAACTTACTAAAATGATGGGGACTGTAAGTCAGTTCACCACAGCATATCACCCAGCTACTAATGGTCTTACTGAAAGATTCAATAAAACCCTGGCGAATATGTTAGCGATGTATACAAATACCGAACATACAGACTGGGATGAATATCTCAGTTTGGTTACATTCGCATACAACTCGGCCAAACAAGACAGCACTAAGTACTCCCCATTTATGTTGGTATATGGGCGAGAACCGGTTCTGCCTACGGAAGCAAGTTTGATGACACCATCTACAAACTTGGACGCCATGCAAATAAGAGATAGAGCCCTCGCTGTCCGTAACAAAGCCATATCGGGTATAGAGAAAAAACAAGAAAAAGACAAAGAACGATATGATGCAAGTAATAGAATTCTAAACTATGCCCAGGGTGATCAAGTGAAAGTATTTACTCCCATCAGAAAAGTAGGAAGAAGTGAAAAACTACTTCTGAGGTGGTTTGGACCCTATTACATTAAAGAAAAAATAGGTGAAGTCAACTACCGAATACAAAAAGGGTTGCACAAAAATAGTAAACAGGAAGTAGTCCATGTCAGTCGAATACTTCCTTATAATGACCCATGGACACCTGAACCGTTTCCTATCTTGGACACTACATAAACTATTATAATTTATTTATGCTAGTAGCTCCTAATAAGATATTTTGTAATTTATGTAGATTTTATAATATTAGGTATAGATTATTCCTTGCAAATGGTTATTATTTTTTTTTTGATACACAAATTACGAAAATTCCCTCTGAAATCATTTTAAAACATACATTGATAGTTTTTACAATCCATACAACCTGTAATCGTACTCCAAATAAATTGTTAATGCACTAAGATACAAAATCCCTAAAAATGGTAATTAAATTTAATATATATATATATTTTTTTTACCAAACAAATTTGCGAAATCGAACCTAGTCGGTTTATTTTAGGGGGTCATTGAGAGTTTTGCGAGACGGCAAAAGGGGTGGTCGTCATCGATCGCAAAAAAAATTAATTGTGGTTAATAAAATATAAAGCATAAAATAAATACTTATAAATATTTCAGAAAATAAAATAAGGTAAAAAATAAAAATTGTGACTGCTCCGTGACAATGAGGTAAGGACCCCAAATTTTAATATTATATCGATTCTTTATTATATCTTTTGCGTCTTTTGATTACGATATTTAATAAAGTGTTTGTTGATTTTTTATACATGGTGTTTCTATTATAACTAGTTGAGTTCTCTATACAGTAATTTAAGTCACCCGAGGTTCATCTTAAGTGGCGCAGATTCCTTCTAAACCAAGAAGTTAATCTGAGCCTTTTGAGATTAACATCGGCTAGAGCGCGCTTAGCGGAAGTGGGTGATTATCTATTTTTACCTCTCAAGCCAAGCGAGGACCCCTAATTACATTAAAAAGAATAATTACCACCCCCTAACCGTTAAGCGCGACAGTATAAAGTAGTATAAAGTAGTATAAAGTAGTATAAAGTAGTATAAAGTAGTATAAAATAGTATAAAGTAGTATAAAGTAGTATAAAGTAGTATAAAGTAGTATAAAGTAGTATAAAGTAGTATAAAGTAGTATAAAGTAGTATAAAGTAGTATAAAGTAGTATAAAGTAGTATAAAGTAGTATAAAGTAGTATAAAGTAGTATAAAGTAGTATAAAGTAGTATAAAGTAGTATAAAGTAGTATAAAGTAGTATAAAGTAGTATAAAGTAGTATAAAGTAGTATAAAGTAGTACAAAGAAGTACAAAGTAATACAAAATAGTACAAAGTGGTACAAAATAGTACAAAATATTACAAAATATTACAAAATAGTACAAAATAGTACAAAATAGTACAAAATAGTACAAAATAGTACAAAATAGTACAAAATAGTACAAAATAGTACAAAATAGTACAAAATAGTACAAAATAGTACAAAATAGTACAAAATAGTACAAAATAGTACAAAATAGTACAAAATAGTACAAAATAGTACAAAATAGTACAAAATAGTACAAAATAGTACAAAATAGTACAAAATAGTACAAAATAGTACAAAATAGTACAAAAAATACTTAAAATTTCAAAGTTCATTTTACTTTCGTCATTGAATAAAGGAATATTATAGGAGAAGCAACGCTCATGAACTGTCCAGTCAGCTATGGGTCCCATATATAGATAGCGAATATGGTCATTTGGGTTTCAGAATATCAGTCAGAGTTGTTATTTTCATTACAATTGTAATATATCTATTACATTGTTGTTTATACCATTACGCCATTACTACAATTATTCAAAAAGTATGTCAATTTTGTCAATCTATTACTGTTGTACGATAAAAACTAAAATACAAAAAAAATCTGGATATAATTTTTTTTTATTCTTATAATCTTTCATTCAATATTTTGAGAAATGTTTGCAATTTTACGTGTACTTGTTCTGTGGTTAAAACCTGCTTTACGGGAAGGGTTTCCCTCCGTTCATCCCAGATCCGATTCGCGATCCTGGATGCTGTTTACAAATATACCTCCCAGACTGTGCCTCAGCCAACAGATTTGTACGGTGTTGTGGATCTACCGCGCGCGATCGTATTTGGCGCAACCCGTGGTAGACAAACACCATACAAATCTGACGAACTTCGCCCGTTGTTTGGACGGTGCAGGCATGGCTCGAGCCTGGCGCGTTATATTTTATACGTAGCTTAACAAATGTTTGTCCTTTTGGTATAAGACGTTACATACACCCCAGGCAGATCTACTGATTCAGCCCTTCATTTAGTGGCTGGCCGGATAGAAAGATCCCTGGACAATAAGGAGTCCGCCTTAGGTGTTTTCAAAGAAGGTGCTTTTGATAAAACCACCTTCCCAAAGATAATATACTCACTAACCAACAGGAATATTAGACAAATTGTTAGTGGGTGAATACATAACATGCTCTCAAAGCGAGCAGTAAACATAAGTATAGAAGATGTAAATATAAGAGGTTTGGTTGCGAGGGGATGTCCACAGGGAGGGGTGCTATTACCTCTACTGTGGAATATGGTCCTCGACACCCTTATGAAACGCCTCAATAATGACGGTCACTACATAATAGCATATGCAGATGACCTGGTCATTCTGCA